GGGCTAATATCTGTTGCCAATCCTCCTCTTTTTACTGAGGAAAATTGGCCCTGGGCTAACATCTGTGCCCATCTTCCTCTACTTTATATGTGAGACACCTGCCACAATGTGGCTTGATAAGCGGTATGCAGGTCTGTGCCCAGGATCCAAACCTGCGAACCTCGGGTCGCTGAAGTGGAGTGTGAGAACTTAACCACTACGCCACCAGGCCGGCCCCCAATTAAAATTTTTATCATGTATTGCCTTAGTTCTGCTGTTCCCTTGAACTTCTGTTACTTTTGTAATCTCTCTATACAGAAGTAAGAATTATAGACCTTATCACATTTTGCATTAGAAAAATTATTTTATTTGGGGAGTCCCTCACTTCTTTCTTTCTACGTTTTTAGTTTCTTTAAGAGCTAAATACAATTTTGCAAAGTACTTTTAGAAATATATTTACATACAGGTGACTATAGAGTTTTAATATTAATTGAGAACTTCATACCATGTTAGATACTGAGTTACAAAAATGAGAGACATAGTTTTTGGGTTTTTTTTTGTGTGTGTGTGTGTGTGTGTGTGTGTGAGAGAAAGATCAGCCCTGAGCTAACCTCCGATGCCAATCCTCCTCTTTTTGCTGAGGAAGACTGGCCCTGGGCTAACATCCGTGCCCATCTTCCTCCACTTTATATGAGAGGCCATCACAGCATGGCTTGACAAGTGGCGCATCGGTGCGTGCCCGGATCCGAACCCCAGGCAGCCGAAGCCGAGCGTGCCCACCTAACCACTACGCCACCAGGCCAGCCCCATAGTTTTTGTTCTTGAGAAGCTTGTAGTCTAGTTGGAAAAGTAGGTCCATAAACACATCTTTCTGTACAGTGGTAAATGCAGTGACAAAAGCATGCCTGAGAGTTCTGAGGACGGTAAAGGGGCATCTAATGCTGGGTCGCTGGTTGGAGAGGGTGAGAGGGAAGGCTCGAGGATTAGGTGGCGTTACCAGGTTTAAGTGACTGGTGGGGTGAAGCAGACGGAGAGGGGGGCCTAGTGCCGTCCCGGTAGAGTCCGCAGCTTGGGCAGAGGCCTGGAGGTGAGCAACAGCAGGGCCCGGGGCAGCTACCTGCTGCTGATCGCTGCTGTGATCACTACTGCCAAGACGTGAGGCGGGAGAGGGTGGAGAGGGAGCAGACGGGCAGGAGGCCGGGTCGTGGAAGGCTGGTGAGCAAGCTGAGGAGCTGTTGCCCTTGGGGTGGTGGGCCGTGCTGAGAGGGTTTAACCAGGGGAGGGTGTGACTCGACTCCTGGCCTGGAGGGACCCCTCTGAGCGCACCGTCAACAATGGATCCCAGACGTGGAGCACAAGGGTCAGCGAGGCTGTTGCCCCAGACCCTGCCAGCGACGCTGAGAATTGGAAGAGTCAGTGTAACTTCCAAATATAAGAATTTGGACCCCGGGGACAGACCACCTGGATCAGAATCCTGTCCTGTGTACTCGTGAAATGTTTGAGTTGGCAGGTTAACTTCTGGGGGCTTCAGTTTCCTCTTTTTAAAGAATGGGACTCGGGGCTGGCCCCATGGCATAGTGGTTAAGTGCGCATGCTCTGCTGTGGCGGCCCGCGGTTGGCAGGTTCAGATCCTGGGCGCGCACCAACGCGCTGCTTGTCAAGCCATGCTGTGACAGCGTCCCATATAAAGTGGAGGAAGATGGGCA